TGTTGAAATTTAACCTTTTATTTTCACCGAGTTCAGCCAAAGATTGAACGTTATATGGTCGTAAGTAAAACGGATTATTGTATTTGCGTACATTTTCTTTCAGTACTTCCATTCTATGCTGAATATTTTCATCTGATGTTGGAGTCTTTTGTATGTCGGCGAACATTTTTCGATATTCTTCTACTATGTCAGCCGAATTTTTCTTAGACTCTTGGAAAGATTCCATATTCACATCATACTCTTGTTGAGGGTCAAGATTTTTCGGCTGTTCCAAATCTTCATCTAGTTCTGTGAAGTTAGTTTCCAAAGGAGGGACTTGTTCGTTTCCTTCAGGCTCTTCTAGCTGTTGTTGCTGAACTATTTCTTCCATGTCTGGTTGTATCTGAACTTCTTCCTGTGGAGTTTCTTGTACCTCATCTGCTGGCATTTCATATATTCCGAGACCGTTTTTAACAAGTTCCCTATCTAAGTCATCCGGACTCATAAACCTTTCTTCTTTCGTTCCGTCTCTATTTTTTACGCGTTTCATGAAGAGAGTTGAATTATCATTTAGCTCTGACACCAAATATCTCGGAGTAAATTCATTCATGTCATTTGGATGATATGCTATTAAATCATATCCCTTAGCGAGCTTGTATTTTCCAGGTTTGAAATTATATCCCATTTGGTGCTGAACCATAAAGCTAAATAGGTTCGGGTCAGTATTTCCTTCCTTGAACTTTCTAATAGCTTCTTTATATCTGTCACTAAAGTCAAGAGTATCTGGGTAACCATAATCTTCCTTAAGCATTTTTAAGAATTCTTGGTTTCCTTTTTCTCTACTTCTTTTATGTCCTTGCTCTGTTTGTGGTTGTTGTTGTGCAGGGTTTTGAACTGTTGGTTGCTGTGCTGGTTGTGGAGATGGTTGCTGTGCTGGTTGTGGAGGTGGTTGTTGTGCTGGTTTTGGTTGCTGTGCAGGGTTTTGAACTGTTGGTTGCTGTGCAGGGTTTTGAACTGTTGGTTTTGGTTGTTGTTGTGCTGGATTTTGAACTGTTGGTTGTTGTGTTGGTTTTGGTGCATGCCTGTGTCTGTGTCCATGTGACGATGTAAATGTTTTAGGTAGTCCTGGTGCAGGTGCTTCTCTTGGAGGGTTTGGTGGTATATAAGTTCCACCAGCTGGCACATATGTTCCATCTGCAGCATAATGTCCTACCTGACTTTTCGTTCTTAAGAAAGCATTTACTAGGTCTGTTTTGGTCTGTTGTAACTCTTTTTCTTGACTTTCCACAACAGTTGCTCTAACGGCGTCATAGGCACTTTGAACTGCCTGTCTCGTTGCTGCATCTGTTATTTTCGTCATATTTTGTGCTACTTCTTTTAACTCTTTGTCGAAACCTTCAGACTTCAGTTTCTTTCCAGATGAGAAGTCGTTCACTAGTTTCACCTTACTATGAAGAGCTTCGAAGGCGTTCTTAAAGTCAGCATTCATTAAAGCTTCATTTGAACTGTCTTCATCCGCTTGTATTTTTGTCCTTATTGACCCTATAAGTTGGGCTGCTTTAGCGTTGGCTTGGGCATCTAACCAGTCATTATTAGCTTTTATATATTCTGCGCTTTTCATTGCCTTTTGCATGGCTGCGTCGTTATTTTTACTTTCTTGTGCTAAGTTTTCATACTGTACGGTTTGGTTTTGCAACTGTAAAAGTTTTTCTGCCTTTACATTTGCTTCAACTTTTTTTTATACTCATCGCTATCCATATATGTCTTCAGGGCTTTTTGTTTTATTTCTTCATCTTTCAGTACTTTATATTGAGTAGTATGGTTTTTCAAATTTATAACATCTTGTTCCATTTTTGCTACTTCTGCTGCTTTTTCTGACACTTTTTTCGCATATTCCTCTGTACTTAGTTCTTTCAGTTGTTCTTCTTTCTTCTTTTTCTCTACGTTTAACTCATTGAGTTTCTTTGTGTGTCTGTCATATTCTAGTTTCTTTTCGTTTTCACTTATTTGTTTCTGTATGTCTATGTTTGACTTTTTGACATCTGTTATTTGATTTTTGAGTGAACTCAAATTCATTTGACTTTGAGGGTTATAAGCTGTTCCGTCTGCAGCTCCACCATAGCCTGCCATTTTCGCTAAAAGTGCCGCTCTTAAACCTCCACTCTGTGCACCAATAACTCGGTTTAAAAGCATAGGGTTGCTTGACATTTGTTGCAACATAGTGGGGTCATTCATCATTTGTTGTTGCAACTGTTGTTGTGGTGTCAGTTTTACTATTGGATGTTTCAATGCTCTCTTCCTCTTACGTATATTCTTACGTAGCTTACGTGGCATTTTAAGTGAAGTTAAAAAGCGGTTTTTGACAGATGTTTATATGACACTTTTTGTGTCGCTTTTCACAAATTATATATGTTTTCATGTTTTGTCACCGGCTGGTCGGCTGGGGTTCGGTCCTCCTCTTGGGTCTTGGGCAAAATTCTTAGGGCTAGAAGGGGCGCAGCCCCTGGAAGCCCTCCAAATATAAACTTCATTTATACTAAACATCTTCAGGGCTAGAAGGGGCGCAGCCCCTGGAAGCCCCACTACCTTTTTTTTTTCTTCAGACAAAGTTTTTGAACTTTGTATAAGTTCTCCAAAATGTTAAACTATTCAAAGCGGTATTAACGTCGAAACCGTTCTCCAAAATGTTAAACTATTCAGACAAAGTTTCCTCCTGTTTGCGAAGGAATTGTTGGCTATGATGTACTGATTCATGATCAGTACATCATAGCCAACAATTCCTTATACAAAGTTCAAAAACTTGGGTGCAATCAGAACTGATTGCACCCAAGTTTTTGAACTTTCTCGAGGGAATGAAAGGGTAAGAGGTATACATTATGAATATATACCTCTTACCCTTCCATTCCCTCTCTGACAGCGGGAAACTTTGTCTGAATGTTAAACTATTCAGACAAAGTTTCCCGCTGTTTGCGAAGGAATTGTTGGCTATGATGTACTGATTCATGATCAGTACATCATAGCCAACAATTCCTTATACAAAGTTCAAAAACTTGGGTGCAATCAGAACTGATTGCACCCAAGTTTTTGAACTTTCTCGAGGGAATGAAAGGTAAGAGATATCCATTTCCTTTCACCTTCGTTCTCAATAATTAACTTATAAATTTTTAAAGCAAAAAAAGTCTGATTTTTTTGACAAGTAAATATATAGGGAATTTATCCGACCAAATAAGTGTCACTTTTTCGGTTCACCTCACTTTCCGTAACTCGTCTTACAACACTGACATTTCCCAACATTTTATTTAAAAAGAAGTCTATATTAAATTCATTTCTCCTCAATGACGTCACTCTCTAACTTGCTTAGGAAAGTGGCGGTGTAATACTTCTTAAGGCATTCGCAATGCAGAACATAGTCAGAGTCTATACATTATGCTTGCCAGAGTTTGATAATTCAAGAAACGAATGGAAAGTTACCTAATGCAACAAAAAAAATAATCCATTTGCATATTTGAAAAGGCGACTCAGATTCAAAGACTCAGAGTTAGAACGTCTGATGAACATCAACGAAGAATACAGACTTGACTCACCAAGGATCATTGATGAAAAGGTAACAGAGCAAATTCAGATTACTATCTTGATCTACCTTCGGCTGCTCAAATATATAAATGCCTTAAGGAATCAAGTCATTGCAACATACCACATCACTTTTGGCCAATTCAAAACCTGGTACTATTTGAAGATCAAACATGAAAAAAGTGAAAATACAATGGTTTTTACCCAGTTCAAACATGTTCTAAAGTTAACAATTCAATGTACTGATCGAGAAACGGTGACACCCCCTCATAAAATGTCACTTTTTCGTAAAATATCACCCATAATACATAACTGGTATTGTACAAATGAATGATGCTGCATCTTTCAATGGTTTTACTACTTTCAATCCAGAACTTCTCTCACTTGTTAAACTATCTTCATATTCTTCAGTTAACTCATTTACCCCATCGAGATCTGAGGCTTGTAACATTCTTGATCTTATATATGAAAAAGGAGATTTGACAGAATGTCAAATCTCCTCAAAAAGTGACAGTTTACATGGCAAACAATTGCGAGCAATTTTTAGCCATTTTGGCTGAGAACTAGAGTCTGTGAGGTACATAGATAGAATCAGTACCTCGCAGACTCTAGTTCTCTATATGGCGCCGAGAAATTTTCGTGAAATGCGACGACATTTCACCAAAGTTTTCTCGACGCCATAGGATGAATTAGAGGGTGTGAGATACTATTACATATAATAGTACTCACACCCTCCAAAACCTCGAAAATCTCAAAATTTCCTGCAATTATCATCAACTTTGCATAGCACAATCGGCCAAAAATTCATTCAATTGTCCTTCTTCTCAATATTTCTTAACTCTTTCGATTTCTTTCAAAATATCTTTCAATAATCTTTCAATGATAAATATTATACAAAAACGATTAGTATGAAACTTTTTTGCATTTTAAAAATATTTTATATTTCTGTTTTTATTTCAATTTTTATATTTTTATTTTCCTTTTTTTAGATGAAACTTATTTGTTTACCAATATTCCTTATTTTATAAAATTTTTCAATTGAATACTACAATAATTTTATCTCTCCTTTATTAAATTTTCGATTTGTATGTTAATTCTAATTCTTTGCACTATTTCTTGTTTAAATCTTCTAAAATTTTTATTTTAATTTAATTTGACACATAATCATCCTTTTAATTTTCGATTCAAATCCTTATCCTCTTCATTATTTTTCAATAATTTTTTATCGTAATTTGTAAAATTCGTTCTTTTATAGCTGTTTAAATAATCCAAAACCATGATATTTATTATTGTTAATTATTCCTAATCATGTTTTTTCCATTAATTTTAATTTTTTATTTTCTGAACCATTTAAATTAATTTTGTTAAGAATATTTTTTCAATATAGACTTCTGAAATAATTAAATTATTCTCAAATTCTCACAAATTATTTCATTTCAAATTTGTTTAAAATGAATTTGTACACCTTAGTTGATTCAGCTTGGCTTGAAACAGCTCTAGCACAGATTCAAAGGCGCACACCGTTAGCCATTGTTCTCACAAATGTTCCATTAGTCAACAACACTATTCGTTCATCAATTAACAAGATAACATTTTACAAAGCTCTCTTATGTAATAGACTAATTACTATTGAAGAGTACTTACATCATACATACAAACTTCAAGAGTTTACTACTTTCTACATTAAATATAATAATCGACTCTACGAGTGTTCATCCATTTTGAAACACAGATATGACACTCTCCTTACCGATTATTTGATATTACAAAGTTCAAACGACTCTCGTATACAGGAAGAACCCTCATTAGCCAGCACTCCTCTACAACGCCAGCTTTCATCAGCCAGCACTACCAACTCTGTTCCACAGCAACAGCTCTCAACAGCCAACGCTCCTCTACAAAGCCCACTTTCTGCCAACACCCCTCCACAACGCCAGCTTTCATTAGCCAGCAGTACCAACACTCCCCCACAGCCACAACTCTCTGCTAGCACTCCCCCACAACGCCAGCTCTCTGCCAACTCTCTTCCACAGCAACAACTCTCTGCCAACGCCCAGACAGAACGCCAGCTCTCTGCCAACACTCATCTTCAGCGCCAGCTATCTGCCAACACCCCTCTTCAGCGCCAGCTATCTGCCAACACCCAGACACAACGCCAGCTCTCTGCCAACACTCATCTTCAACGCCAGCTCTCTGCCAACACCCCTCTTCAGCGCCAGCTATCTGCCAACACTTCGGCACAGCAACAACTCTCTGCCAACACCTTGGCACAGCAACAACTCTTTGCCAACACTCTTCCACAGCAACAACTCTCTGCCAACACTCATCTTCAACGCCAGCTCTCTGCCAACTCTCTTCCACAGCAACAACTCTCTGCCAATACTCAGCCTCAGCCTCACCCATCTGTGTCTATTCCCCTTAAGCGCGGGAGACCCAAAGTTAATGTACCAAAAGATCTTAAGGTAACTATTAGAAACCTAATTGAGCAGCATGGCCATCTTGGAATAATCTCCGCCTATAACCAAATAAATAAAGATATCGAATATGCCAAATCTCATTTTGAGGCATTTTTGGACATGAAGACGGGTATTGTTCCACAGCCAACGCCTACCCAAGCATGGTTCTCCGCTATGAAACGTTTTAAGCCCCTGAATCAAATTTCTTCCACAATTCCTTCCGGACTTATGATTGAAGAGTCTCCATTATCATTTCCATCTGAGCTGAGGAACATTAAATATCTTACAAACCCTCTTCCACATCCCTCTCAAGACATATGGTAGAAAGAGCTTTTAGAGAGCTAGGCTTGGCACGTCCAAGGGGGCCCTATCGGCCAAAAGGAAAGACAAGATACTTAGCTGCCTTTGTAATGCATGAAAAATAGCGTGACTTCATTTTTGACAGTTTACAAATGTAAAGTGTTGCATCCTTAAAAACTTGGAAATATATATATTCATGAATTATCTTGTATATTAATTGAAAATCCATAAAACCCTAACAATATTTTTTCTTAAAAAAACTATAAAAATATAAATAAAATTAATCGTTAAATAAAAATATTTGATATTAGAATTTTATTGGAAAAATAAAAAACTTAATATTTTAAAGAAATACTTAAATACTTGAATGTTTTAACTTTTACATTATCATATAGACTCTCAAATTATTGATTGGAAACGGTTTGAGGGTTATCAATTTAAAAAAATTGTGAGTTTTTAGATTTTTGGCAATGTTAAACGGTTAATTTTTTCTCAAAAAAATTATTTCGAATTTCCGAAATTTTTGACATTTTGGCTGAGAACTATGGTCTGCGAGGTACATAGATAGAATCAGTACCTCGCAGACTATAGTTCTCTATATGGCGCCGAAAATTTTTGGTGAAATGTCGTCGCATTTCACCAAAAATTTTTCGGCGCCATAGGAAGAATTGGAGGGTGTGAGATACTATAGGGTGTCCAAAGGTGTGTTTAGCACAAACCCGAATACTGCGAATAGAAATAAACAAGTTACATATATATAAAGTTTATTTAAATATAATCACCATTGGATTCAATCACGCGTTCGCAGCGATCGATCCAGGCTTGAAAGACACGCTTTAAATCATCATGAGAAAATTGCTCAAATTGCTCTCTTACAAAATTTTCAAGATCATCTGGACTCGCGAATTCGCGTCCTTCAGCTCTCTTTTTTAGCGTGCCGAATAAATAAAAGTCAGAGGGTGCAATATCAGGTGAATAAATTGGGTTTGGAACAACTTTGACATTGTTTTCCACCAAGTAATTCATTACCTTATGACTTTTGTGAACTCTTGAATTATCAAAATGAATTGCAAACTTTTGTTTTTGTTGTTTGGATTTCTCAAACTCATCAGAATTGATAATTTGAGTAAGAACATTGTCAATTAGATACTGAGCATTCATCGTATTAGGTTTTTGAAGAATATCAATTGCGATGATGCCATTCACGCCCCAAAAAACCGACAACATTATCATTGGTGTGTCAATTTTTTTCTTCGGGAATGTTTGCGGATTTTCATCCTTCGGGATCCACATGATTTTGGCTTCTGTTGCATATTGAAACCAAGACTCGTCCCCTGTTACTAAAAAGCGAAACTTCTTGGATTGATACGTACCCAATATAGAGAGGAGCTCTTTCGAAGATTGGACTCTAGATTTTTTTTGAACTGAATTAAGGTTGTGCGGAACCCAACGTGTATACGCTAGTTTGTAGTTCAAATAATTGTGCAGATAATAACTGACTGTTGTAAGTGGTATCTTTGTCATCTCCTCTATCCTTCTGAGTGATGCTCTTGGGTCTTCATCTAGCGCTTGAAGAATTGCTTTGATTTTTCTTTGATCCGGCGATTTTTTGTCAATTTTTATGATGGGCGCCTTTTTGTTCATGAAGTGATACATCCTAACATGATACGTTACAGTGGAATAGCTAGAAGCATCCATACCGAAGCATTTTACCAATGTCTCGTAGATTTTTTACAGTCTTTGCATTTTTTTGCAAGAGCGAGGATGTTTTCTTTATGATTCATTAAAAAAATGAAAAAAAATCCCGCCAAAATTTCCCGCGAAACCGCCTCTTGTCTCAAAATTCATTTTATATCCCGGCATGGCGCCAAAATACAACATACTCATCATATACATATATTCATATTTTTTATTATATATTTATAATCAGCATATATCGCCTTTAATAGTCTCATATAGAGCGCTGTGCTAAACGCACCTTAGGACACCCTATATTGCATGCTATAGTACTCACACCCTCCAACTCCCAATCAAAATCGCATAAAATTTGCTACTTATCTTCAGATTACCTCCCATTATAAAATATATCATTGCTATCTCATCGTACTATACTTCCACCCTATTGTATTTAAAAATATAAAATTTTTTGATAATATATTTTTATATCTTGAATTTTCAAACAATATATTCACAGATAATATAATGGGAAATCTATCTCAACCTAGCCTTAAAGTACCAAACTCCTGTTTGCATTCTCACTCACAAATATTAAACATCCATCTCCAAAAAACTAAATTCTTCACAATTTTTTTTAAAATTGAGAACATAAAAAACGTATGCATTCAATAATTTAAGATACTAACAAATATTAAAAACTTCAAAATATCAGATAATAACGTTTTCCAATTAAAAAAATATCATTTTGCTTTTCAATTCGAACATAAATCTTAAATATTTTTAATTAATATCTGATTTACAGCATTATTATCCATTTATAAATCTGACAAATAAATGACAAAACCATCAGAAATAGTGTCACTTTTTGTCAAAAGTGAAGTCAAGCTATTTTTCATGCACAACACCTTTCCTAACCAAATATGGCACGTTGATATCCACTTTCTTGGCAAAAAGAGAAGTCAGATTCTTTATGCTGTGATTGATGACTGCACAAGGCTCATCATAGAATGGCAGCATCTTTCGTCAAAACATGCTAGCCAAACAGTGAAAGTAATTAAGAGAGCAATAGCCCGTTATGGACCACCACATACAATTTGGTCCGATAATGGCGGCGAGAATAAAGGCGAGTTCCTAAAGGCTATGAGGGTTCGGGGGATCAATAATGTATATATTGTCCCCCATTGCCCATACCAAAATGGGAAAATCGAGCGCTTGTGGCCTAACATAGAGAGCAGAGAGTTGTCATGGGCAAAGATTCAACAATGGGTTGAGTACTATAATGCTAAACCTCATCTAGCATTACCAACTCATTATGTGAATGGAAAACAAATTCACTATAGCCCATCTGAAATGTGGAAGAAACTTCCAATTTGGAAGAGGGGAATGCCGGCAAAATGGATTGTGGATGGAGTCTCTCAAGATTTTCTTCCAGGTTCACTTATGGCCAATGAGATGCCAGAGCTCCAAGGAATCGAAGAAGATGAATGGGAAAAAGAAGGCGAGGAAGTTGAAGAAGAAGAAAATAAGGCGAATCCGGTTGAAATAGAAGAAGATAGTAATGAAGAAGAATACGAAGTAAATTATGAAGAAGAATATCAAGAAGATTATGAAGACCCTTATGAAGAAGATTATGATGATTCATTTTAATATTACGAATAAAATGTCACTTTTTCTATTTTTGACACGTAAAGTTATCACTTTTTCTGTCAAACTGTTTTTATCGTTTTCGTATATAACACTTTATTTTAAAGATACTAGGTTATATATAATTATTCTAAATATATAATAATAATTTGAGAGAAGATTTGAGAAAGACATAGAATAATTTGTGGAAATTTTGGATATATATTTATAATAGAGAAATATGCCAGATATTAAAATTTTAGAGAAAAATGACTTTTCTATACATTTTTGATAGGAATTCACAAAAAAAATCTCACAAAAATTTATAGGCTAGACGCATTATTTGACGGATTGTATATATGATTTTGTCATAAGACGAAAGGTGAAAGTGGGGTGAAGTCAAAAAGTGACACATATTTGGCCGGCTAAATTCCCCTTTAGTTTACATGTCAAAATTACAATAAATTAATTATTTTCCTTAGCAATTAGCTATGTATTAGAGTGGGGAACAAACTCGCCCATTGTCACTTTTCATTAACCTTAAACTTGTAATTTTCATTATTTTAATTAACCTTATTTCTTTCCCAATTTCTGATTTATTTTATTCACTTACTATTAAAAGTCACATTTTAATAAAATATAATAATTTATTTATAGCATTTTTTACTATACTGTAATAAAAAATTAATTATAATAAATTAAATGTTTATTAAATCAAATGTTTTCTTTGCAATAATATTTTTAATGTTGAGTAAACAATGTTTGGATCAAGTGTATCATTTTTCAGACCTTTCTGAACAGCTTCAAGCATACTGATGCATTCGACTTTTTTAAATTGTGTCATTTCTTCGAAATCTCTTGTGACTTTTTTGATAACTTTAACACTTCTCTCTGAATCCAGACCTTTAATTTGCAACTTAATCAGGAATGAAGGAACAACACTGGAATATAACTCGATGACAAGTTCATCGAGTCGAAGATTTCGCCTTTCTGGGAAGTACTGGTGCTTCAAAACCTTGAAATGTGATTCCGAGATGTTGTTTGTTCCATCTCCTTCATTTCTATAGCGAAGCATCCACCTGTCAAGATGATGGCGCCACTGTCGGTCAAAGTATTCACGGGCAGCAGGTTCCTCATTTAAAATTTCTTCTAAATTGTTGTAAACTTCATCAGGATCAATTTCTTCCTCTTCAGAACCAAAGACCAATAACTTCATTAAGTTATAGAAAGTTTCGAAGTTGGAACGATCTTGAAACTTTTCAGCCTTTCTCATGACAGCGCGCAACACATGAACGCCACACCAAATGATCTGGCATAAGGGGATGGCTGTTTCAACAGCATTTGTGATTTGAGGTGCGCAGTCCATTGAAAAATAAGATGGTTCGCGATTGATGGAGCCAAAATATGCTGTGAGACAAACTTGTATATTTTCACTTGTGTCGGGCCAAACGAAAAAATACAAAAACGGAAAAACAATTGATTCCGCGAATTTGCCAGTGACGGCATAAAATGGTATGCGAGAGCGCAAGAGCTTATAAGTGGAATCAATGTGATAAGTTTGTATTTGATGTGAAAAAGCATTTGCTTCGAATGGGGCGTAATAGAAAATCATACGATCTGGGTCGTGAATAAACTCGATGAGATCATCCGGAGAATGACTCTTAACCATGTCGACAAAAATTGCAAGAGATGTAACATCATCCACTGAGAAACGGGTATTGATTGCATGAAGGCGTTTAGAAAACTTTTTTAAAGCATCTGTAGATTGTTGAAACATTTCCGCAATGATCCCACTATCAAATGGGATATTAAGATCTTTGAAACACCTTAATTGTGCGTAAACACGGTCTTGATTTGATTCAAAATATCTTGTTAAATAAGATCTATAAAAATATGATGTAATTTGTTGTGATTTGTTTGGAAAAGGGGCAGAATAATTGTGGGTGTTAATACATTTTCGTATGTGGTAATTGTCATCGGGAAGTGTATCAACAAGGAAGCGACATGGACAATTCGGCCACTTACAATTAAATTGGATTTGATTTCTTTCGTTCCTAGTTTTATATGAATAACTACAACCTGCTTGGATTTCTTGTTGCACTCCATACTTAAGCAACTCGATATATGTGAGTTCGTGATCTTGGATCTGCATTAAAATGAAATGATTTGAAAGAATAAAGAATTTTGATTATATTGGTCTTATTTTGATAAGCTTGGTCGTGTTTTGAATAGCTTGGCCATCTAATTCAATTATGATCTTTGAAAATTAGGTGAAATAAAACTAAACATAAATGTAAAACTAGGGATATGAAATTTTGGTTGTACACCACTTGTATGTGCCGGATACCATTGTGTCAAATTTTTTCTGAAATTAACTTTAAAAGTACTAAGTAAGATCATGAGATATAGCAATATATGTTTAAACCAACTTATATTTTGGTTGTACACCACTTGTATGTGCCGGATACCATTGTGTCAAATTTTTTCTGAAATTAACTTTAAAAGTACTAAGTAAGATCATTTATTTTTGCATAATATAATGCCAATATGGTTTCTTTTGATTTTATTTCATTTATAAGCAAATCAGATTTACCCAAAAACTCCACTCCATAAGCGTTCATTTGCTAAATTAAAAAGTGACAATGGACTAGTCTGTCCCTTTCTCCTATGTATTAAAACTAAAATTATTACTATTCAATGGGCGCGTAAAGGGTTGGCGTCCTAAGGCGTCCTGATGTAAACTATTCAATTTTTGAGAAGTTTACACCATAATTGAATAGTTTATGGCGTCCTGAGAGGAGATTTCAATGGGTATGGCGTCCTAAAAAAATAGAAGAAAATGATTTTTTCTCGATTTTTCTAGAAATTGAATTTTTTAAAAAAGAAAAAAATCAAAACGTATACATTCAAGAAAGACTATAAATGAAGATTTTTCTATTTTTTTTCATTCTAAAACATCTTTTTTTGGATAATTTTTTTTAAATAAATATGTAAGAAAGATTGAAGAAAAAGTAAATTTACTTTCAGAAAATTCGTTTTACATGATGTAAGACCCATAACAACTATAAATATTCAATTATTTAAAATAAAAAAAGAAAAACAGATTAAATGTATCTCACATCAAAATCCATTGACCTAAGGATGTTAAGTTTCTGTTTTTAAAAGTTGATATTTTTTTTTAATTTTAAGAAAATTAATAGCATGTTATTAGACAATAGGAGTGTAATGATATTGACTAAACAGAAATGAGAGAATAGAGATATAATTTTGATAAGCAATATTGCAAACAAATTCTGAAGTAAAATCGCGATCAATAATTGAAAATTACGATCATGTACTGAAAAATGACGATCGAATTGAATGAATAGAATTATATCTAAGAAAAAATAAATTGTATTTAGAAGATGAACAAAGAAAGGTGTATGCTAAAAATCATTTAACAATAAATGGAAATAAAACGAAATTGTTAAAAGAAAAAAATGAAAATTGTTAAATAATATATTATTTTTTAGTCATAAGAATAAAAATATAGTAGTTATAAAAGGAATTAGACTTCATATATCAATTCTTTTTCTCTGTAGATGTGGAACGTTTGCTTTTCGATCTCTTTCGATGAACTTGAAAATATAAGTTATTATCGCTGAGAATCCTTTCCGAAATAGGAGCTTTACGTTTAGGAGGATTGTCGGATGAATTTTGTTTTTTATTGTTTGATTTTGTTGTTATGGAAGATTTTTTCTTATTTTTTTCAGAATTTTGCTTGCTATTAACTGAAACTTGTTTTGACGGCCCAACAATAGCATTTGTAGTAGGAAGAATTCCCAATAACGAGCGCATTTTCGATAATTGTTTTTCAATATGATCAAGAAGGTCCAGCTTATGTTCTAGATTACTAGACATTTGATTTGTAGAAGGATGGCTTTGATTTTCTGGTTCTAAATCTGTAGAGTCTGCAATATTTGAATTTTCGGAGCGAATTGGAGCATCTGAACCTTGATTTGTATCGGCTTGCTCAAAATTAGTTTGAATTGGAGTGGATGAATTAAAATCTGGATGATTTAATGTTTCATTAAATAATGCCATAATTTTTTCTCTTTTTTCATTAATAAACTTAGTGATCATTGTATCTTTATTTGTTAGATCGATCGATTTGAGTATATCTGCATCATGAACTGGAATATTTTCGAACAATGAACTCGATTCTATGGAACCATATGGAGAAATCTCGTTCTGAGCCAAAGAAAGATCACTTACGTTGTATTGTTTGATAGAAAAAATTGTTTTCTCAAGTTCTTTTTGAAAGCAGTCAAGAATATAATTTTTGTAGCTATCAGTGATAACGGTTTTTATATGGCGCTCGATCTTCTGGTTATTTTTGATGGCGTTATATTTATCTAATTGGATTTGAGATATCTTCTTAATAGCTTCATAAATGTTTGGATGTTTTAACGAAGAAAATTCTGAATGCATACTCTCGAGGCAATCATTAGTGAATATTGCAGTTGCATTATTATATTGAGATATTAAATTGTAGTGCGGCAACCAAACTTTGTTGAAATAATCAATATAATCTTTGATCGAATCAACTTTATTTTGATTAATTATATGCATTGTAAGTACAAATTCTTCATGAGACATGAATGGAGTAATAGAATATAGCTTAAATAAAGAATTTTGTAAAGTATTGAAATTTTTTGTATAAAGTGCTACAAGTTTCCTGTGTAAAGCTTGTTTGAAATGAAATAGGCATCCAATTATACGGACTTTAGGGAAAATTTGTTGAAGTGCCTCTATCATTCCCTTTTCAAAATCACAATGAATTTGAATTAGCTTTGAAAATTGAATACCCTTGACAGTAAAAATATATTCAAATGCCTTCTTATAAGATTCAAATGTGCGGTTTTTCATGAATATAAATAAAAGTGGTAGATATTGATTTGTTGAAGGTTCACAAATCATAATTGTTAGCATCTGTCCTTTTTGAAAATGTTTTGGTGTAATTTTAAAAGTTCCATCGCAAAATAAATCTGTGGCTTCTTTTGCAAATTGAATTGCCTTCTCAAAACCAAAAAACATCGTCTCACAATTTGCTTGAAAATCATGGCCAATGAAAAACTGCTCGCCATTTATTAAACAAAAATTAGCAATTTCATCGTCTGTAATTTTTTCTCCAACAGAAAATTTTCTGGACTTATTATAAACTTCCCTGACCAATGAATCTTTAATTAATGGGTTTTCATCAGTACCAACAGCAAGTTCTGTCATAAATTTTTTAATCTGCTGAAAAGTGCCGTTGTCTTCAGAAAATTTTGCCATTGCCTTATTGTATATTTCTGTCAGAGTCATTGATTTATGAAGATCATTTTTTTCATTTTGTAACTTTTTAAATTGTCTGCATTCGGGTATATGTTCCTTTTGTAAATCTTCGGAAACTGAACTGTTCTCAATTTTAACTAAATAACGTGCTTGACAAGAATGATCGATGCAACGGTAGTAACGTTCAATATTATTTGAATTAATAATATTTGTATGATCATGCGAATAAAGCATATCTTTGCGAACAATTGTATCAGGATATTTTCCAGTAACTGCGGGAATATTTTTAACTGCAATATAACTAAAATATCTTCTGACAGCTTTAGATTCATTTTCGGCGTATTTAATATTAAAATATTGAAGAACTTGTTTGATTATATTCGTTTTTTCATCTCTCGATGTTGATTTTTGGTATTTATCAGATTGTTCCCTGATAAATATTTTATTTTCGTCTGTAAAGTTTGCTCTTTTTTGATTAAATATAGATGATTTTCCCATTAAAAAATGAAATGATGCAAAATTTACGAAAACCGTTCGAAAATTGAATCAAAAATGAAAAGTAATACTTAAATGAGGAATTCTTTGAGATATTGGTCTTAGATTGAATGTAGCGTCATTCTTATATAGAATATATATTCATATCATCGGAAATATGATAAAAAGCATATAATAAATGTCAAAAAAGTGAACAAATAAGCAAAGATATTTTTTAAAAAACAATGAAAAGTAATACTTAAATGAGGAATTCTTTGAGATATTGGTCTTAGATTGAATGTAGCGTCACAAATTTCACAAATATAATTTACTATACAATTTTATTCATTTTTTTAAAATGGCTGACGACAGTCTGTATCAACTAACTCAACTAGTCAAGCATAATGATTATTCTTCGGATTCATTAAATCAACTTTATCAATGCATAAGTACAATGACAGAAAGATCAATTGGATGCTTGAATTGGGATAAATTTTTCAAAAAAATCACAGTGACTGATGAAGTTCTTTTACATTTTTTAGCATCCGTTTTAAACATTGAAAAGATATCAGAATG